CTGGCCTGCAGTGATGGTCCTCACCATCTCTGCTTGCCTTACACTTATTTTACTCTGATGTGTGCACTGGGGTTGTAGCTCAGTGCTAGAATGTGTGTTTAGCCTGTGTGATGTCCTGGGTTCTTCTTGCAACAGTGAATTAAAAAGAGAGAGTCAGGCATGGTGGTGCACACCGATAATCCCAGCACTCAGGAGGCTGTGGCAGAAGAATCTCTGTGAGTTCCAGGCTGGGCTACATAATGAGTTCAAGGCCACCCTGAGACCCTGTCTCAAAATAACTAAAGGGGAGAGAGAAAGAGAGAGAGAGAGACCTGTGTTCAGCCTATCTACCTTCTATACTCAGGTATGTTTTGAGATGTTATGCATGTAATTCTTTAAAATAATGTTTAATTTAAAAAATAATACAAACTGAATTTAGAAAAATAGCACAAAAAATAAAAATCCAACTCTGATTTCCCTCGAGGACAGCGACTTCTGTGCTTTTGAGTATACACACTTCCTATTTTTAATTTTATGTTTTAATTTTCATCAGATTTCCTTGGTTTCTGTAAACCCCGGAGGTGGTGAGGGAAGGGTTAGACCAGCAGGGCACAGCAGGGCACAGCCTGGCTCCTACGGCTCCCATGATGCCTTAGAATTGGGCTGCTTCAGACTGAGCCCATCTGGGCCGTTAGCTGCCGCCTAAGGAAAGAGCGGACCGGAAACTCTTCCCAGCCGCAAACCCTGCAGACAGTGCCTGTGCTGCAGGTTGCAACAAGTCTCGGGATAACCCAGCTTTCATAGCAGCCATGCCCATTAATCATTTAGTAATGACTCTCTCCGTCGGAGAAATTAAAGAAGACCTAGGATTCACAAAGAGCCCGTGTTCATTTCACATCTGCCTAATTACTCCACAGTTCACGCAGCCTGGAAGAATGTGAAAAATGAACTCCATTCTTCTCCTTTATACTTGGCGTTTTTTTCTGGGTTTGGCTTTGGCCCAAAAGAGAAGCAGCCTTCAGGGGTTTTGTGTGTGTGTGTGTGTGTGTGTGTGTGTGTGTGTGTGTGTGTGTGTAAGCCCAGACAGAGTGCCTTTCCTGTCTGCTGGGCCACAGGTGGGGACGTGGGACAGCAGCTCCCTAGGGTGTCCCTCAGAGTCATAGAGGGATCCCGACCCTGAACCGCAGGGGAGTCACAGGCACCTCCTGTCCCCAGGCACTGTGTGGGGACCCTGAGTGTGCATGCCACTTAATGGTCCCCAGCTGTGGGGGGGGCATCCACCACCCACTGGGAAGTAAGAGAAAGAGCTCGGAGAGGCAGTGAGGGACTCGCTCAGTCTCAGGACGGATGAGCCCGGGGCTGGGGTGGAGTCAGGGTCTGGCTTCAGGGTCTCGGCCCTTCCAGTAGTGGATGCCTCCCAGCCTGGTGCATTCCAGGAGCAATGGAGGCAGAGAAAGCAAAGAATGCTGATTTTTCACTCCTCTGGGAAGAGAGCCTCCTCCCCTTTCAGGGCTGGTAACTGAAGGGTTCCCAGAGTGTGGTGGTGTGGAGGGGACAGCACCTTGTCCTTCCCCAGGGCGTCCACCTCCTGACAGTGCTTCCCACACAGGACTTGGTTTCCAGCAAGGACAAGAGTGAGCTCCCAGAGTGGCAGCCTGTGCGACCTTCCTCCCGAAGGGGCTGGAGGGCAGGGAGGAAAAGTGCAGTAGCCTGGAGTGGAGGGCTCCTGGCTAGAGACGCTGAGGGCTCTGCTGCGAAAGCCAGTACCCCAGGGCAGCAGCGCCCAAAGCCAGGGTGCAAACCTCAGCTGGTAAAAGAGGCCACCAAGAGGTCCCAGGGGTTGTAAGTTTTAAGGGACTCAAGTTCTGGTTCTGTTTCCCACGGTACATTTCCCAAAGCCTATCTTCTTGGAAGGCACCCAGTTTACTCTAACCCTCTCCTACCTTAAGAAAGCAAGAGGCCCCTCACCCTTCCACAGACAGGAAAGCCTCCTACGTCACTTCCACAAAGGGTGTCTCTTTAGAAGGACTAATCAAGCCACAAAACATTTCCAAGTCTTATGTACTTTTTTTTTTTCTTTGAGACAGAGTCTCTATGTAGTTCAGGCTGTCCTGCCTCAGCCTTTCCAGTGCTGGGATTACAGGCATGCGCCTCCACACCTGGCTGTACATTTCTATTAAAGGGTTAAGTCTGGCTTTAGATACAGGGATTCTGAATCCAGATATATAGCAGAATGGGCTGGTGGAATCAATAATAATTTTTGTTTAAGAACTCTAATTCTTCTGTCTTCCATTATAACTCTAATGTTTCCTGGCACAATTGTGTTCTTCAAGATAAACTGAAAAAAGTACAGATAAAACTGTAATGTAATGTCTTTCATCTCGGTGTACACTAATTAATAAAGTGGTTATTTTGTCAAGTAATACCATAAGGGATTTAATCAATCTTCATCTTATTTCATCTGTTAGATGTTTTATATGTTCTGCCTCTCACTTAAAATATGCTGAGTGGCAGCCAAGTTTTCTAGTGGAATTTATCTTCCTCTCTCCTCCCTTTTACTGATATAACCAGAGTTTCTCAGTGTCTCTATTTAAAAAGCCAGAAAAATAAGGGCAGAATGGGGCCTGACTCATTAAGACAGTTAAGTTGTGTTCAGTCAAAACATGACCCAGCTGGAAAAGAGCCAAGCCCATCTATCTCCGTTAGAAATGCATCTGTAATAAAGTTTGGCTTGAAGTTTTTAAATTTGGTTTCATATATTCATTTTGATTAATTGCATAATTTTAATGATGATTCAATTCAAAATAAAATATTTTAATACTTAGAACTATAGCCATAAAAATAAAAAACGGTGGTGGATGCCTGAAATCCCAACTACTTGGGAGGCTGAAGTAGGAGGATCTCAAGTTCAAGGCCAACCTGGGCAACTTATTTTATCTCAAAACAAACAACAGAACGGAGGGCTGGGGATGTGGGTCAGTGTTAAAGGGCTTGGTGAGTGGGTTCAAGTCCCTGAGTTCAACATCCTGTGTGAAAAATCATTAAATGATTTAAATATATGTTAATGTTTCTTGTTACAGAAGAGTAGGCTAGGGTGATCCAAAAAAAGAAAAGAAAACATTCAATCATAAAATTACATTGCATTGTATGAGGAGTGGAATGGAAGCGAGTTCACAGAGAAAAAAAAATTTTTTAATGTGCATGTTAAAGAGCTTGTCTATCCATTTTAAAAGGGAAGGCAGAACAGCACCTTCCTAGAGACAGAAAGGAGGGGGCTGGGGGAGGGGAGTCATTGTTTAATTGGGTCAAGTTTCAGCTTGGTGAGATGAAAAGGGTTTGGGAGGTGGAGACGGAGGTGGTGGTGAGGGTTGCACACAAAGTGCATGGAGCGTGTTAGCTTTCCCACTTCTGGATGCAACGCGCAACTTGAAGAAAAGAAGGTTTAATTTAATTCAGTTCATGGTCAGGTGGTCCCAAGGCAGGAAATCGTGGCAGAAGGGTGTGGTGAGACAAAGGAGCTTAGTTTTTGGAATAGAGTAGGAGAATAGGGCGCGGTAGGAACTTAGAGACTTGTACGGTACCCAGAGTCTTGCCTCTTTGACCCAGCCAGACACCGTACAATGAAGCTGACATATCAGGGGTGATGGTCATGTACAACCAGTGCTATCGAACGATGTACTCTAAGATGGTCCATATGGTGAGTTTCATGTTATGCGCTTTCCACCACAGTTAAAAAACAGATGGTAATACATCAAAGTGTTAGGATATTTTGATTCCATTAGGTGCATTCAAAAGAGTGATATGACAGCTTTATTTAAAAGTGACAATATTTGTAGGGCTCCACATATCACACTTTGTGCCAACTATTTAATTCACAGTGAAAAAAAATTTGGTGTCCCCTTAAAATAAGTGTCATGCTTTTGAAGTTATTTAAGGACATTCTCTAGCGAACACTCCAGGAAAGCTTTTGCTTCTGGAAGCTCAGTTCCCTTGAGCCATTCAGCAGCTTCACGAAACTGAGCTGTTTTCCATTAAAAGTGAAGATTTAAACTGCCCGAAGCGGTGTCACCTCTGGTAGGGGTTTATACATTGGAGCTCCCGGTGACATTTCATTTAAGGGATGATGGAGAAAGGAGAGAGAGAAAAAAAAAGAAGGAGAGGGAGAGGAGAGAGACAGAGACAGAGAGACACAGAGAGAAATCTGCTTCCAAAATTAAAGTGGTTTAAACTATTGCTGTCCAGGAGGCTTCCAACCAGAGCGTAGTGACGCATCAAGCATGTTCGACCCCGTCACGTTCCTCTCGGGCTGAGCATGGCTTTTCCATCAGCCATCAGACTCTTCGGTGCCCTCTGTGCTGATCTCGTCCCTTTAGATTCTTCAGGTCTGTCCTGGGGGATCCCCGAGGCCAGGGCAGGAGAGGCGCTGCCCTCGGGCACAGTGGTTCAGGCCAGGCAGTGTCTGGGTGTCACACGCTGGCAGCTTTCCCTGCGGTCTGACCATTGGTTGAGAGTTCTTTGAGCATCAGAAGATGCAGCTGACACGAAACACATCTTGAGTCATCAGCACCATGCCCTGCCCAGAGAAAGGCCCGCTCTGTCAGAGGCACCGGCACATAAGACTGAGGAGGGGACACCATCTCTGATTCCTGTGTTGTGGCTGCTGCTCGCTCAGAGCATGGTTGTGGGGTCCACGACGTACTCTCTGTCCCTCTCTCTCACGGATTTGTTGACCATAAGCCACGGCTGTGCACCAAGCAGCTGTACCATTCACATCCTGACACCCAGGCAGCTGTCACAAGGGGCCATGCTGTGAGGTGTGGTCTTCACAAAACCCAACCTCTCTACTCCTGAGTGTGCCTCTCCCTTTACCTACCTGCTGGGTTTGGATGGAAAACGGCCATGGGTGCCTCACAGGCCCTGAAGTCAACAGGGGAGTCAGTTTCCCTGCCCTGGGAGCCCACACTGCCTTGTACCCTGCTCTGGCTAGCGTGGCTGAAGTGATGCTGTTGTGATTTGCACAGGAAGTGTCCCCCGAAGACTCCTGTATGGAGGGCTTGATCCCCATTGCAGCACTGTTCAGCGGCGGAGCCCGGAGAGGCGGCCAGTTGTGGCGGCACTAATCTCACCTGTGGATTAACCCACTGATGAGTTCACGGCTGAAGGAGCCCTTAGGAGGTAGGGCCAGGCGGAGGGAGGAGGTCACTGGGTGGGTGCCTTGTTCCCTGTCCCTTCTTCCCTCTTTCCCTATCTCTCTGCTTCCTGGCTGCCATGAATTGAGCAACTCTCCTCTGCCATACGCTCCCACAGTGATGTGCCTGCCTCGCCCCAGGTCCAAGAGGACTGAAAGCTCTGAAACTCTCAGCCGAAATAAATCATTCCTTCTTTAAGCTGTTGTGTCAGGGATTTTGGTTATAGTGACAAAAGGAAAAGTAATACAGATACAGTGGTACCTCGGTTTATGAACTTAAACTGTTTTACGATTTTGGGGAAGATAGCTGCACTTGTGTTTGTGTGGGGGTGATGTGTCTGCATAGGGATAGTGTGTTTGTCACTTGATGTGGATTTGGGAATGGAAGCAAAATTTTGCCGAACACTTTTGTTAGTGAACAGAATTTCTTACCAACAGAAGCATTTGTGAACTGAAGTATTACTATATTCCTTGTTTAACTATCTACCCATTTAATAACTGTTCGGACAGGACCTGCCACTTGGACTTACAACTTTTTGGGGGTACAGTTCTGTGCATCCTATTGATACAGCCTCAATGTGCATCTTAGTTATACGGTACTTTAATTTTTGCCCTCACTTTGATAGAGGAGAAAAGTGAGGATTATGTACCTTCCTCAAGAGCACACTTCTTGAGGCTGAGATTGGATCTGGAAAATTTATGTACAATGTGTACGCTAGAGTTCTGGTCCCTGCCTTGCCACTGACTTGCTGCTTTCTCTCCTCCTGCCACCTCTGGCTCCTAGTTTTCTCATCTAACTGTAAGACAGACCGAGAGTGAGCAACTAAAACCTGTCAGCTTTCTTCTCCAGCTCTGATATCCTGGATTTCTACGACATATTAATCTGTTTTTCATTGCTACAATGAAATAACTGAGGCAGGCCACTTATGAAGAAATAGATTTATTTAGCTCACAGTTTTGGAGACCGAAAGTCCAAATGACATGGCAGGCTTAGGTGAGGGTCCCATGCACGATGGGAACATGTACAGGACAAAGTTGTCACATCTTGAACCAGGAGGCCAGTTTTTATACTATTGTGACAACTCACTCCAGCAGACTGATATTTCCTACGGAGGACAGCAGCCCCAATAACCTAAAGACCTCCCCTTAGGTCCCACCTCTGAAAGGTTCCATGCCACCACCCAGCCCAGCACCCTGAGGACAAAGCTCCCAAAGCATGCACCTCTGGGGGAACTGATGACACCACCATAGCTCACAGTTCTCCAGTTCAAACTAGAGTCACGGCAAAGGTGAGTCAGGTCACAAGGCAATTCCCAGAATGCAGGAGAGAAAGTCTCTGCTCCTCAAGCTCTTGGAGGCCTGTGCTGGTCTCTAGATTCTTTCCTGTGGTCAGAGTGTGGTTAGGAGAACTGGGCAGATTTGGCCAACCCTGAGAGCTGCGGTGCCTCTGGTTCAGAGACAGGAGTTGAGGTGTGTGATCCCTGCAAGCTGGTATCTCTCTAGAGAACCCAGGCCCCGCATACCCGCTACTTGGTGTTCTGGAAAGTTGTTACTCAGTGATGGGTACTGTCCATATTTTTGCTTGGTGAGGCACAGACCAAGGGGCTGGGACTTAGGATGAGGGAACTAAAGACAAGAGCCCTGCGGAGTAGGTCAGGCAAAGAACTCAACTGTCCTTTTCCTCTGTGTGACACACGGGAAAGCAGAAGCCCAGGGAGGCTGAATGCTATCCCTGAATTTCCCAGCTGGTTAAGGGCCAGGCCTAGGACTCAGCTTTGGCTGCTTTCCCAGGGCTCTTTTTCTGCATGGTGCTGCCTGCTCCTTTGGGGCTGAGCTTGGCAAAAGGATAGCTTTTGCCTGGGTGTATTTTTCAAGTTTCTGATGCAGAGGAACATTTTCAAATATAGTTGTGGGAAGCTCTTGAGTTTTGGGAGACCCCATGTAGATGGCCTCAGCTGGAGAGAAGGCCCCACAGACCTCTTGGCCTCAGGCCTGCAGCTGTCCTGTGCTTCCCAAAGGACCTCCAGTAACCATGGTCAGGCAGTGTCAGAGGGCGGTGACTGTGAGGTCCCTGCCATCTGGGTAGTTTCAGTTCAGTCCGACACCCGCATAGCTGGGACTTCCAGCTATGTAACTCCTGGGAAGACTCCACTTCCTTGTCTGGGAGGTGGATGGAAGGGGATGGGTAACAAAATTAGTTTGTAAGATTCCTGTGGCCCACTCTTGCAGGAAGGGAAAAGGTGGGCAGGGAAGTGTGTACCTACATGTATGCAAGGCGTGATTGAAATATACGGTGAATGCTTACATCTTAAAAATTCATTACAGTAAAAGGCACGTTACCACAAGCCTCCCTCAACTGTTCCCCTCACTTTGAGTACACTTACCAAATTACTCTTGCCACTTTGTGAAGCAGCTCTGGAAGTCCTCTTGGGCAAGTGCCTTGAGTGATCCTGTTGTAGCTGCCTTGGTGCCCAGAATCCACTTGAAACATTTCCTTTCTGCGTTCATGTTGACTTTGGGGAAGAGCTGGAAGTCACACGGTGCCGGATTGAATGAATAAGGCGGAGGAGGACGCGGTGCAACGCGTTTAGGAGCCTGCTTTTCTGTTGGGTGGCGCTCGGCCGCAGCACTCTCCGTAATTTTCATCGCACCTTGTAAAGACACTCATGAAAGAAAACGTCCAGAACGGCTTCAGAGAGTGACAAGAACAACCGGTGAGTGTCTTCAAAGTGAGAGGAGGATCTGAGGAAACGAGAGGCAGCGTGTCCTTTTTCGTAAAAAGTTTGAATGTTCACAGTATCTTCCGATGACCACTTTGTGTGTGTGTGTATATATATATATTTTTTTTTTCTAGCATTTCCTGGCAAGCTTTGAAACCCAATATTTCCAAAAGGAGTTTGACTGGAAACAGAAGTGTTATTTTTTTAAATTGAGTTTATCGGTACATTTTAGGTACACAGTACAGCTACATTCGTTATTGGGATCTTGGACCTTTACATGATAGGTCTTGGTTCTCATTTTTCCCCCTGTCCCTGCCCTCCCTTCACCACCTCCTCCCTTCCCCATTTACAAACACTTTATTTCCATTTTTCATTTTCTCATATTTTTTCTTTTCCCTTGTTACCTTTTCCCTACCCTTCCCACTTTCCCTACACCTTTAGCCTTTTCTTCCTATTTCATATTGTCAGTTATCTCATTGGGATCTTATGTACTATTATAGTTTATTCACACCAGAGAAACTATTCGGTATTTACACATGTGTGACTAATGTATTTCACTTAGGAGTATATCCTCAATGTGTATCCATTTTCCTATGAATGAATCTAATTTCTCATTCTTTATGGCTGAATAGTATTCCATTTTATAGAAAAACCACATCTTCTTTATCCAATCTCCAACTGATGGGCATTGGGGCTGTTTCCAAGATTTAGCTATTACAAACTGTGCCGCTATAAACACAGGTGTGCATATATCACTGTGGTATGATTCTTTTCAGAAGTGTTATTAATGCAATCCTACAGTTATGGACACATCATCAATACATTTTCTCACACAGATGGGCAGAGAAAAAACTATATAGGCAGGCTTAGGCTCTGGATGCTGGCATGCAGGGTAGACTATATTTTTTATTCCTTTGCTATCAGTTTCATCTTGAATTTTGCTCCTGATGGGTTGGCCATGGCTGAAGAGCATCTAGAGCTGGTGGTTTGGGTGCTTATGAAATGACTGTCATGCAGAGGGGACACCTAAGCGGCTTGCTGGCCTGGTGAGGAGTCTGGCCAGTCAAGGCTGACTCACTCGATTCTAGATGCTTCTGTCTGAGGAGCATTACCTCAGCCATTTTAGTCAGGACTCTTTCAGTTGATCATGACAGAAATCTAACTCACACTTGCTTAAACCCAAGGGGGAATTTTGATTCCAGAAATTGGAAAAGCCAGACATACTAGGTATCAACCATGACTGGATTAAGGATGTTCTCTCCCTCTCGGGCTCAATCTTATTTCTCTCTTTGTGAGGTGTCTTCACCATTTTCTCTTCCACACGGAATTACCTGGGATGGGGGTGGCAGAGGAGAAATAGAGTGGACACACAGTGGACACCACCATTTCAGTCTCCCAGTTGGTGACTCTAGAAGAAAGCGATCTCAGTGCGTGGACTGCTCCAAGGGAAGTCGCAACTCAGCTGCCCAAGTCCACGCATCGGCCTCTGGACTAGCACCATGTCCAGGCCAGATTAGGGCAGGGGCCCTGCCCCTGACGTTACACAGAATCTTCTGGGCATGTGGGTGGGGTGGTTTTGTAAATGAGGGGTGCTATTATCAGAGAGGGGAACAGAGGAATCCTGCGAGAGACCTCAAAAAGATAGGCAGCCACCAGAGGTATCACATCAGCGCTGAGTAACAAGAACAGAGACTCTCATGTAAAGCACTAGGGGCCCCAGCCAGCTGCTGATGGTGTTTCTTGGGGGCCAGGGATTCAATAATTGGTTCTGTGTGAGTCTTGAAGCTGCAAACTGAGCCCTGCTGCTGCTACAGTGTGGCAATGCCTGCATCCAGTCGGGCTGAAGAATAACCGCTGGGATGGTGCCCCTCCTCTCCCCAAAACAGGAAGCCCACAGGAAGCAGCCAGCCAGCAAACAGGAAAGAGCGGATCGGTCTCTCTCCACAGGGCTTGCAGCTCCCCTGTCACATGGACTCACAGGAGCGGCTGGCAAAGGGACCTGGAGGCAGAGGGGCATAGAGGGCGTGTTGGGGCACGGAGGCAATGAATGCATGACTGGACCGTGACTGCCTCCAGGCTTCTGGACTTGTGAGGCCAGGGACGTGCCTGACTTGCCGGGTGTTCTCCTCAGGGCCTGGCACCCTTCCCCACAGAGCAAGCCCTCGAGAGCATGGTGTTGTCATGCGCCATTATTTCCGGGTTCTTCATGCTCTGCATGAATTCTGGAGGTGAATCCGCCAGTGACGGTGGTTCACGCCTGCGCAGAAGAGGCGCTTGGCTCGTCAGAATGACGCAGGCCGGCATTGACCAATAGAAATGGGCCACGTCACCCGAGAGGCTATAAAAGGCAGGCTCGCGTCCGGCTCGGGGTCTTTCCGCCATCTTGAAGAATGCAGAAGAACCTCCAATAAAGCGTGCTTCAGAAGAATCCTGAGTGTTGCGTGCTCCTTGCTGGCGA